AATGATTCATTTATACGTCACACGTTCTTCTACGAACATTTTCGTTTCATCTTCATCTTTATATGATTTTTCTTATTCATATAATAACATTTCGAATAACGGAGTGAATGTTATTTCATTAATTCATTAACTTAATCATCTTATTCTTACGTATTTAAAGAGGAAAGTTAACTATCTGATCATTCAGAAGTTATGGTTTCTCTATTTGGTAGCTGCTCACATGTTCATAACGTGTTGTCTACGAACATTCTTCTTCGACTACTCTCATCCCAACAAACGCTTGGAAACAGTGGAGGTATTTAAATTTCTTATATGTTCTTCAGGTATGAAAATTCATGTTTGGGAGTTCAGAATGTGTAGTGATGTGCTGTGTCCCTGAGATGATTTCTTAAAATTATGAAGGTTCAACAACTTTTCAGTCTTCTCTCACATATAAAATCTTTTGACTCATAAAGATTTTTAAAAGCAATGTCAACTGCTTAGTGATCTGGCTGCTCCAATTCAAACTCTCCACAATGTCATGTGAGATATCATTTAGGCCCCAACTGTCCCACCAAGTTTCTGAATTTGCGGATCTGTTCAACTCTTAGGATGGTTTCTTGTCGAATCTTTAAACGTTTGTTCCTATCAGAAATAATCTCGTTTTTTATTTCAGAAAAAAACATTAAACTATCATCTCTCTCATAGCGTGGCATGTTTGTAATCGCACGGAATCTCTGGCTATAAATTAAAGAAAATAGTTTAAACTTGAGATATTTATAACTCTATCCAAGATTAAGATACATTTGTGTTCATTCTATGTTTTGAGAGACGCTAAGTGCAGTTTAAAAACAGAATTGATCATTCAATTTATTGCGTCCTCAATCGGTTATCCTAGTGGCGAGCCAAACTTTCTCAGTCTTCTAGGCCCTCAAACTCTGAAACTGATTGTATTGTTGAATTTGCCTTGCGTTTTAGAACGATTCACTTTTGCTTTCTTCTTTTCTGAAGTTTGGCTTGAACTCTTAGTTTGACGCTTGAATGTTCAAACAACTCTTCATGTGATGTTTCCTCGACTTTGCTTGTACCATTTGATACTTACTTTCATATCTATGTTTGTTTCAGTTTTGAACTTGTTCATAATCATCTATTGACTGATCTACAATGGTTTGGTGTGCTGTAAGTGACTTTGAAACTTTTATTCAATGTTAGGTGATTTTAGAATGCTAGTTTACCAGAAGGATTCGAGAACTGCGACACACTGGAAACTATCAAAGGTTCAACGTATTCATGTATATCTCTTGCTGCTTACAATGCTGGTGCTGTGAGTACAGAAGAAATAGTTTGAGAAGTGTGCTGTAAATTTCAGAAAGCACTGACATTCATCTATAATGGTTGTCATCTGTTTCAAACGTCTTCTGATGAATGCAACAAGTCCGATGTGAGTATTTCAATAGAAATCTTAAGATCATTCTTTTCAGTGTTTCATCAATGTTGAAGAGAACAGTAGAGCAAACTACTGTTGCTGTGATACTGACAACTGTAATGAGAATGCTACTGCTTGGAATGTGGAGGTGGACCACAATATTTACCTGCCAGTCCCAGTTCGCTATGAGACTATCACTGGATTCACACGTAGCGAGAGTAAGTGTCTCATACAACAACTTCTGTTAACTTTTAAGAATTTTAAAGAACTTGTCTCAAACGCTGAAGAGTACAATCCATGGCTTTTCGTTTTTCTTGCTGTCTTGTCATTCGCTATTCTCGCCTTTGTTGCTGCCGTTGTCATTCAGAGATGCGTAAGTTCATAGTTAACGATGCTTTTACTAAAATGTTTGTTAGGTATGTTCAAGAAAGCTGCAAGTTTTGCATGTTGATGGCATCAAAGAAGGAGTCGAAGCAGGCTTATCCGGAGAGTACAAGAGTCATCGTACTTCTGAATCTGACATCTGAAAGCATGCGTGTTTCATGTCCATTGTTTCTATTTGATATCTATCAAGTTAATAATACAAGAATAAACAATTTGATAATAATTCTGAAATACTAATGTCTCTCTGATCTGAAGTATTCTTCTTACAGAGGAACTTTAATTTCTTTTTAAACTTAGTTTAATATCATAACTTTGTCGATTTCAGAAAAAAATATTTCACTCAACTGTGTTTCAGAACTCACGATGTAATCTGTTAATTGCTTTTCAAAGGCAGCCACTATCTTTCATAAACCAATATCATTGAGGGATCAGCTTGTTCAAGATGTATTACGGAAGAATGAATGTCATAAGTGAAATACAATATATTTTAATATAAGAACCGTTTATTCAGAACTAGCTAAACAAATGTGGAGGTAGACAAAGTGAAACTAAAGTTAGTGAGGAATATTAGATTTACTTGCTGATCTGACCAAGAAGAAACAATTCCTCTTACACTTTACTTCAAAAGGGATGAATGAAGAGTTGAAAAGGTGAAAATCAAATATGTTTTTTTTCGAAAGGGAACTATCGAACTAGAGGACATAATTATTTAATCTTCTTCTTCAGATGTAGAAGATGAGCTCCAATTGTGCTTGCGGTTATGTTTCTTTCCTCCATGGCGTTTGTGGCCACGTCTGCGATCTTTTCCG